TGTAGTCTGGTGCTTATGTCAGCTGTTTGATATTGTCTGCTTCACAGATCAACATGAAGAACTTCACTGAAAATACTTTCTGGGCAAAAACGAAGGAGGACAAGTTGGAAAAACCTGGTTTGTTTGACGAACTGACGAAAACGTTCGCTGCCAAAAGTGCTCCGAAGAAGAAAGAAGATGGAGAAGGGCTGGAGAAGAAAGCAGCTGCCAAGAAAAAGGGCAAAGATTTGAAGGTCATTGACCCAAAGAGCGCTCAAAACTTATGTAAGTACCACAAATGTTTTGGAAACATGTTATGAGGTTTCGGCGTTAGTTCAGTCTCCCTTACCGTGACTGGCAGTTCGGAATCAGTCTTGTTCTGAAGGGTTGCGGTCCAGGGCTAGGGTTAAGTTGGAAAGCTTGATCGAGAAAGAGTGCCAAAAAGTAGTAGCATTCATTTCCATGGTAACTTCAAGGAATTTTTTGAGCTACGCCGCGGGTAGCACCTCGAGTGCAGTTTAATCTTGAACTGAATCCAAACATTGAAAGAGCTTGTGAAATTTAGTAATGAGTGCGATTTTTGGGGTGTAATATTCAAGGATAAATTGGATTTCTAAAAAAATATAAAATTTCTGGGTGCCAAAAGCGCTAATGAGTTCATACATTCTTTGTGAAATTTTGAGTCTTTAAACCCGCGTCGCAATAAAGCATTCTATACTTCGATTCAAATTCCTTGAGAATTCAGGACTGATATTTTTTTCAAGCTTGATCAGAAACTATATCGCTTATGCTAATGAGGCAAATATTGTAAATAAATGTTCCCTTATTAAGACTAGTGCTTTACCATCGCTAGCCCGGCTACGGTTATGGTCAAATGTGATTTTTTTTTTATACAGCAAATACTTGCTTGCTGATAATTTTGTTTTTATTTTCACACAGCAATTTTCCTCGGCTCGCTTAAATTACCACACACGGAGGTTAAGAAGTTAATCTTAAAATGTGATCAGGTGGTTTTGACAGAAAGCGCCATCAACTCCTTGCTGAAGTATCTTCCATCACCAGAACAGGTCAGATATAAACAAATAAACAAACAAACAAACAAAATTAGATGTAGAACACGTTAACTGTTTTGAATCAACGAAGCTATTTCAATCTCTGGCCAGAATATTAATTTTCCTTCCTAATTTCCATGTTTTTTCAATCTAAGTTGTGAAAATTTTTTTCATTACAATCTCAACATTTTGATCACTTGATCTCTTTTTTCCTGTCTTTCTCAGATGCAACAACTTGGCAATATGAAGGATAACTTGGATGATCTGAGTGATCCTGAACAGTTTGCCTGCATGGTAAGTTGGTGTTTACACATCAAACACGAAAGATTGTGTTTGACCACATTCGAAACACTGAAAACAGAGTTGTTTGGCCATGTGGTCAAACACTGTCTTGAGTGCTTGATATATCTTATCAATCGAAAAACTAAGGAGAAAACGAAGAAATGAAAGAGTAAAAACCCATGCTAAGATCAGATATCCAAACACCGTCACAGTGATGATTTCCCATGTTGAAAGTGGATGAATTGTTGACGAGTTTGAAAAGTTTTCTTCAAACGACCAGTTCAATTTGTCCTCAAAATTCAAAGGGTTCTCAGCTCGAAAAGTCAGTTCAACACCAGTAGATTACATTGGGAATGATTGAAGTTGTGGTTTTGTATAATTTTTACGTGTACAGCGGCGTTAAGACTCTATAAGTTCTTTCCAAGGATTCTTCCCTGGCCTGTTGGTTTCTCCGTTGGGCCTCTCGCGGCTTACCTCGCTCGCGCTCGCCCTCGCGACTTCGTCGCTTGAATTCGCTCGAGGGAGATAAATAAGGCAAGGATTAAGAAAAGGTCAACTTGTTGCAAGTCTAAGCTGCGTTCAACTCGCGAAAGAACGTTCTCTTATTAAGCTTCATGTTTCATATATATAATTGATTGGAGGTCTTTCACGTTTAATTTTATTTCTTCAACTGTTTTGTTTTCAGCTTAGCGGCATTAAAAAGTTGGAACAAAGATTAAACATGATTCTATTCAAGATGAAGTTTCCTGAAGACATGCAGGACATAAAACCAGTAAGTTCTTATTGCGCATTTTTATTTCCATCCACGGTCTTCCCAGGCAAGTTAAAGCTTTCTCAGGCTACCGAACATTTGGACTCCCCACTTAAGAGAATTATCATTTTTTTCTTTGTGCGGAGATCAACTTGAAAATTCTCCTGATGTTTCTATACATTTTGGATAGTTCAACTGGTGAGAATTCGTTTTCTTTACGACCTCGGCAACTTGAATTTGTGCGGATTAAATTGAACATACATGTAGGCTGGAGAGACCACTACTGAAGCGAAGAGAGATGCTGAGCTATGGCCCCGTTCACACAAGCTGGAGAAATTTGAAAACGTAGCTTAACCACTGCAGTTGAGCCAGCCGTCCACACTAATTCGTCACGAAAACGGAGCTTTTCGAAAACGCTCTTCAAACCGGCGGAGTTTGAACACGTTGGCTGTGCGGTTTTAGTGTGGACCTGCTTTAGTCACTCTTAATCATGCCGGTCTACAATCATTGATAACGAATTTCTATCTTTTTGCAGAACGTTGTAAATGCGACAGCGGCTTGCAGGGAAGTAAAGACCAGCCCGAAATTCTCCAAGTTTCTCGAACTTGTGCTCCTTATGGGTAATTACATGAACTCTGGCTCACGAAACGAGGGCTCAATGGGATTTGAGATGAACTATCTCACTAAAGTAAGAATTTCACGAACGTCTAGTTGCGCCATAAATTTAACAAACCGCTAGAAAACGTGCTTTGCATTTACCGTCAAAGCAACGTTTAGGGTGGGTTTTTAGCCAAGGTGACAAAGTAACATGGCAGAGCAAGACTCGAAGCTTGCTTAGTCTTTCAATGGCTAAACGCATCGTACCAACTGCCAAACTACGCATAGTTTTTGATTGATTTTTCCCCGTCGTTCGCACTAAGGCAATTAAAAATGCCAATCAGAAAATTGAAGTAATGGTATTTTACACAAGTGTAATGGGAGACCTCTATTGTACTTTACAGTATTCTAATTTTCTTGTAATTTCTGCTACTGGGAGGCCCTGTAGTCTCCCTCGCAGCCGTTTTTTAGTGTCGTCACGTAACGCTCCTCCCGCGGTCTTGATCTTCTTAACGTTTTTAAACCTACTCGAGCTCTATTTACGTTGCAGCTGAGTTCAACCAAGTCCATGGACGGCCAGTTAACATTGGTTCATTTTCTTGAAGACATCATAGAAACTAAATATCCCGAGATTTCAGGATTTGAAAACGAGTTGACTCACGTGGAGCAAGCTGCAAGAGGTAACGAGAAGTACATTCAACTGTCACGCAGTCTCTTTTGAGTTGTGTCACGTTAGTTAAAGTAATATTCGAGTTCCTTTTTCCCGTTATTTTCTTGGGTACCCAGCTGTAATGGTACCTACGCATTTACTGCAGGGGGTTATCCTGCGATGGACTAGCGTCCCATCCAGAGGGGGAGGGTGAACCAGAAATACTCCTTGCCGCTTTATGTTACGGAAATCGGAGATAAGCTTGGGTGGTATGGGAAGGTTTGGTCCGATGCAGGCTATATTTAACACTGAACTTTACTTAACTAATTCAATGAGTGTATATTTGCCCTCACATTCTGTTTTTGTTTTTGCCATCTCTAGTGTCAGATGAAATTCTGCAAAAGTCGATTAACACAATGCAGGGAAACCTGAAGAAACTTGAAAAAGAACTGGAAATATACAAACCGCTTAACGATCCTGACGATCAGTTTCTACCTGTTATGAAGATATCCTTTTAAAATACCCCTCCAACTTTAAATACTGTCTCAAAGTAGTCTTCCCCCATAGCGTTACTTTGGTTGTCACGCAACACTTCTCAGAGAACAGGGGCATTTCGTGACCGTAGTTTGACCCGGGAAATTCGTCCTGATAAGAACTTTTGAACGGGGGATAAATGGAACTGCGAAGAGAGTGGGCTCTTTCCAAAAGTTTTAAAGCCGTGGACTAGAAATACCTAGTTAAGAGAAGGGACGTAAGTTATTTCCTTGACAGCGCTCACAGTTTCTACAGCAGCGCCAAAGACCAAGTCGATGTTCTGGTCGAGATGCATAAAAACATGACCACCATGTACAAGGAACTGGTTGAGTATTTCTGCTTGGACGTCAAGAAGACCACCATGGAAGAGTTCTTTGGTGACATCAAAACTTTCCTGGACTTCTTTGAGGTGAGGGTAGATGATACATTGATAGTGATTTGCTGCATAGTATTTAAGTGACAGCGTAAGCAGCTCTTGCTGGTTGGATTTCAGGGAGGGAACGTTTCCAACGTCAAAGAAAAAGGTGCGAATTTGTAATTTCCGTCATCGGAATCATTGTTTCTGATTGGGGTATTAGGGTGTAGCGGTCGACGATTTGATTTGCGGGTAGTTGAATATGCGCAGACTGTAATGTATGGGAAAAAGTAAATTTGCACTAATCAGATATTTCACAGACAGATTCTTAAACTGATTTTTGCAATTTTTTAGTAATTTCAACTTACGTTTCACGGTTTGAATGGCATGTCATTGGAAATTGGAATATGGCACATGTCAGAATTAATTGAGATAAAGTATACTTACTGTGAAATCTCTTTGCGTGTTTTATTGAAATCAACCGTTTCAGGTTGACTGACCGTTTTAACCGAAATATAACTAACTAGGATATCCTAAAACTGATTCTGTCCTTCTTTGTTGTCTTTGTAGAAAGCCAAAAAGGACAACGCCAAGCGAAAAGAAAAAGAAGAAAAAGATAGGAAAGCCAAGGAACGAGCGGTAAGAGTTAATCCAGGATTAGCGAGAACTTCGATTTCAGTTTAAATTGTAACTTTTCGGTGGGGTTTTCTGTCTATACTGTTTGTTCTTCAGTTTTGAGTTTGAATAATCTCAAACTACGTAAAGTATAAGAAGTGAAAAACATTTTTATACAAGAAATATTAATACTTTGGTTAAATTTTAATCCTGGGTTAGCGTTAACCGGCTTTCTAACAACCCGACCCAGACATTTGTTTCCTTGTTAGTTTTGAGAATTTAGTTGAACATCAAGACAATATCTCCTAGTTGATGATGTTCTGTCTTCTCATCACCTATCTGCTTGTCAATATATTGATATTGTAAGGAGAAATAAGATTTTGATCGCTTTAAGAAATAAAATGAAAAGTTGTATCCTAGCGACTTACTTTAATTCCAGAAAGTGTCAGCAAACAGTTTCTTGAAAAGACCGTATTTCCTAAACAATCGAGGTTTTTTCAATTGTAGGAAAAGGAAAAAGAAAGAAAGAAGCGAATGGAGGCTGAAAAATCCAAACGAAAACCTGTTGTGGACATGAATGCTGGTTTGTACTCAAATTGTGGTAGTGTTTTGCCTAAAAGAGCCAATATTGTTGGAAAGCTGTGGCAGTCAGCAATTGTGGTTTACTTCTTGTTTTTTACCGCGCTTTTCATAGCTTGCATGTTTTCCCCGCGCTTGGGATGGTTTACGTCACATGTTTTCCCGCCCTTTGTACCACCGGGTTACTTGATATCCCAGCTACTTACTGGTTTCATGTTTTCCCGCTTTTTTTCCCCGCGGTTGCCTTTTCCCGCCTTTCACAGACACTTGGAACTAGTAACATCTAGAATTGTGTTTATTTTCCGCGCCCGACATCGTTGCATGTTTTTCGTTGTTGGGTTTAAAACGCTATAACAGATGGCACTGACCTTTGATATGTAATTAAAGTCCGGTTCGATTGTGTACTATAGGTCATGTTTTGTTTTGTTTACTGCAGATGATGATCAAGAGGGAGTGTTAGACGGCCTCATGGAGGCGCTCAATACTGGATCAGCATTCAGGGATCCTACCAGGCCCGCACGAAAAAAGGCGGGTGGCAAGAAAGGTAAGATTACGTGTGTCACGAACATTGTCACGAAATGACACATTGTCACGCAATTTTTCACTTCCGATATATATCGCGCGCACTTCCGGTCTCTTTAA